GGGAAAGTGAGAGATTTCTTCCTCCTTGCCGCTTCAAAGAGGAATTTTGTATGCTGTAAAGAAAATAAGAGATTCAGAGGAACTTTGAGGAGTTTTCTTGAGGAGAAATTAAATATAAGTTTATTTATTGTTGTAACTTGTATGACTTTATTTTTATATATGAATTCTGAGTTTTGTTGTGTTTCCCCCATGAGATATGAGTAATTTTCTCTGTCTTTCTCCTTGTCTTGAGATTTGTGAAATAATGATTTGAAATAGTTGAACCACGAAAATGTTAAAGAAATTATGATGATATTTTCACTTCGATCTTAATTTACTTTCAATCTGATCAATTGATTTGTTAAAATATGTTGAGTTTTACAACTAAAGTGAAGATTACATCAAAGATTTAGGGAGATCAAAACCCTTGAAATTGGGTGAAAATAAATAGGGAAATAAAATTATCGAGCGTAGAATTGGAGATTTTAGAGTGACAGACTAAAATCCCTAATTCAGTCCTTTCGTTTGGGTGCTGAAGTGTAGATGTTAGCCCTCAGGCGAGGGGAACGTGGGAGCTCCGAAGTGAGAGTCGGTATCCTCGAAGCCTAGTTGCAAATTCAGTAAACAAGCGTAAGATTAGTCAATGTTCTTTATGCCTGGACCAAAGGGTAAAGAATATGTATGCTCCTATTTGGCACAATATAATTTGAACCACTTTATCCATTTTTATCCATTCACTATAATTTCTTGACAAGTAGAATGATGTTTTCTTATATATATTGAATATCACATTAAAAACTTCATTAGTACAATGAATTCTTATTATATACATTGTCTTTTCATTCTTAACTGCATATTTATTTCAATTGTCTATTAGTGACAGATAAGAAAATTGAATTTCATTGTTGTGATTAAAGTATTGCTTTTCTAAAATCTTAGTTCGTAATTCTAATATTACTCCATGTGGGATCAATATCTAGGACTCCATTAGAGTCCTATATTATTTGAGTGATACGTATACTTGCGTTGGTAAGTGTGACTTTACAGTTACTGAATATTTTATACATACACCTTTATCAAATTTATAACTGTTATTAAGTTTTGGTGCAGTTGCTGATGAATTAAATCTTTTAGCAGCAGTACTAATTATTTATATTTTTAAGCATATATAAAGTCGCAGTCAATAACCTGACATATATAAATTTTAAAGTAAGGTGGATAATACCTATAGTACCAAAAAATATCCATTTTCTTAATTTAAAATAGCAGACCATAAAATGCGGGTCTATGATGCGTATGACGTACTTTAGAGTCATTGGATCCTTAGGACAATCATACTATTTGCTGCTCGTGATACATAAACTCACATTGCTCACTGAGACATTTTCATGCCTAATAAGTATGACAAACCATTAAGTTGAATGGACAAGCATACAACCATGCAAGAAGCCCATGTTACAATTGTTTGATAGAAGTATGAAACAATCACAACAGACACCCAAGTAGAACAAAACATACATCATGCAAATGAGTGCAAGGATGCTACATGCAACATGACACACACAACCGAGATGTATCAGTAGGATGGACTATCTATGGAAAGGAATTACACCTGCTTGAGGACCTGAGGCGCTATACTAACAGCAGACACTGACTAAAAATGAGTTTACATCAAGTAAAAGGATTCCTATGAAGAAGATTCACGTGTTATCTGAGATGCACTCACCGAGTACACATGCAAGCTTGCAAGATATACAACAGACATACATGAATAGTCAAGCAGATGATATGCAAAAATGTCAAGCGCATGACATATAAACAACAAGCATACATACATGACACTTGCCAAACATACTAAGTGATGTGATCCTTACCGACGAGAATCACACACCTCGGTGAACACACATTGTGTCTTGTATGATTTCAGGAGCTAAGATGCGTGACTTGCACTTAACACAATGCGTGATATTCATGACACTCTATGTAGTGTGGTAAGCAGAGAGGTTAATGACTTATAAATGAGCCAACTCCTACCAAAATGTGCAAGTATCCATCACGATGAATAGGGTAACTATTGTGGAGAAAACATCTGCGAGTGTGGGTGCTCAATAAGACACCACGATCATGGATGTTCATAGAGACATCCAAACACGACCCATGCAAAGCATATAAAATAAAAATATTTTACATGTAATAAAATTCAACGCAGACATAAAGTCAAAAGATTTTTCATGCTTATGCAAAGAAACTTGCAACATGCAAGAGATGTATACAAACATGCAAGTGATTGATCAACCAGACTGTGGTGACCGGTCAGACCAAAAGGATTAGATGATCCATCTGGAACGATCGATTGAACTCAAATAATGGGTGATCGGCCTGAGATGGCCAATCAGATCTAAAGCGGGGTAATCAACCTGGGATGTCCGATCAGATCCAAAGTGGGCAATTGACGTGGTGCAGTCGATCAAGCCCAAAGGATTGAGTAATTGGCCCAGGGCGATTGATCGAACCCAAAAGATCAGGTGATCAACCCGGGACGAGAGATCAAACCTAGAAGATTGGGCCCAGGATGGTTGATCAAACCTAAAAGATCAGATGATCAGCCTGGGGTGACCGATCTAACCTTGAAGATTGAGTGATTTGCCCGGGATGTCCAATGAAACCTAAAGCGAGCAATTTAGCAATCTGTCCTTTGGGTCATGTCCTTTTCAGCACACACAGTCTTCGGGTCACTGCCTCCACGACACACTCACCCTCTGGGTCATTGCCTTCAAGTCACCACCTCCACGACACACTTATCTTCATACATGTGTGTATTTCACATGCACACTACCACACTGTCGGCACATTCATCATTGGTATATGCCACCGTATACTAGTGACAAATGTTTGTTATCATGTGAAAACACCTTACACTATCACGAACATGTTCCTTTGCATAAGACGTGTGTTTGTTTTCTTGCTTGCATGGTGCACTATACTCTATATGTGCTTGCCATTTGCATGTGTTTTGTCGTTATTGGTGCAAGGTGTGATTCTCCCCATTGGCATCCTATGTCATAGGCGATTGAACACAATGCCTCTTGTGCTATGTGTCTTGCATGTGTATATTTGCACCGTAGGCATATTAATCTCTAGTATACGCCACCGTATACTTGTGACAAATACATATTATCTCGTGAATGCTTCGACTTCTATGAGGCGATCATTGTGCACTAGATCATTTTGCATCCATATGTGCATCCCTGATTGTCTCAATGACTAAACTGACTTGTTAGCTGAGTGACTCCTTGTTAGTCACAACGTAACTAGTATTGCCCGCAATGATGCCTCAGTGGGAAATACCAGTTATTACACAATGACAAGCACACATATGTTGTGCTAAGGTTTCATGAGGTTTAATGGGCGCCACTTAGAATTTTCTTTTCTTAGGGTCTATTTTAAAGTAAAAAATATATATTTTATTACTTATGCATAATACTTGCAAAATCTATCTGAAAACTACTTGTAAACTTAGCTTGGATCATACATTGAGTAAGATTTTTCAAATGCTTTTACAAAATCTGCATATAATGACACCTCTTAGAGTTTAAACACGCGCAACTTGCTGACATAACACTACACTCATTTAGGTGTTGTGTTAGGACATTTATGTTAAATGTTGTGCTAGACTAAGAATTATGATGCTATGTAGTCTTTTTCGGCAACCTGACAGTTGTTTTGTGCTGATGTGTTTGCATCAGTCAGACACTATTTTGCTCTTTTGGTGTGCATGTGTGTTTACTTTATGTATGTTCTGTAGTAGATTAATGAGACATTCTGCAGATGGTCATGTCATATATATGCACACACATATATAATAAAATGGCTGACATGCGATAATTTACATGTTAAAAATTGCATGCAGGTGCTGCTTAGGCCCGCCCTACCCCTACCTCTCCCAGATAAACTCATATACAATTGCATGTTTGTTGACTTTTCCTCTAACATTTATTTCATAGAGATGTTGACATTAAATTTTGATGTCACAAATGTAGGATGTTCGTCTGAATATTAAGGAACATTGCTTGATGCAATTGTTGATTCGCATAGTGCAAGACATCCATTGACGACATTTCCACGCATGTTGAGGGGCACGCTGTTGGGATTATCCTGTTTGGATTAAAACTTTACTCAAGTGAAAGCAAGTCAATATTATTTTATGTCAGAGTGCTTCGTATGTGCTGACATGTCTCGTTCTCCGCGCAATGTGTGAAATTGACTCAAATTAGCAAATTTGATTGGATAAACCCAAACGGTGAAACGAACTTTGCGAGCTCATTCGGAATTTTAATTTTAACTCTTTTGGACACTCATATCGTTAGGGTTACCTGCACATGCGAAAATTAGGCGAATAAAAGATTTTGATTAAATAATAATAATAATAAATAAATCAAATATAAATCCGCACCCGACCTCTTGCTCCTTCGGCCCGAAGACTTTCTCCGCGTGCCCTAGCTGCCCGTCGCGCCTTCCCGGTCTCGGCCCGAATCGGCGCTCCAGCCGGCGCCCGCGGCCTCCGGCACTCCCGCCGACGGTTCTCTCCGGCGACCTCTCCCCCCCCCATACGCGCGATCTGGGGCACGCCGACCCCGTTCCATCTCGCGTCGGCCGCACCCCCTCTCACTCGCTCCGCTCGCCTGGCTGCCGGGGACGCCTCGGCCTCGCCGGCCTTTCTACCGGCGCCCTCGCCTCCGGTCCCAGAACAGCGGCTTCCTTCCTTACTCGGGAACATGTTCCTGCCCTAGCAGCCTCATTCGGGGCTAACGCGCTCGGCGTCTCCCTTCACCCTCGACGGCCGAAAACGACCAGCCTCACTCCTCTCCGCCGGTAAGCAGCCCAAGGGGTCTCCCTTGCCGGATTTGACGATGCCCTAGTCGTCCCCTTTTCGGATTGTTCGGCAGGTGCGCCGCACTCCCCTTCGCTGGCTACCTCCACCGGCGAGTCCGCCGGGGGACGGCACCTTCTTTTGGCTTCTCGCGTGGAGCTTGAGTTTGGCGTAGCTCCTTCTTCCGTGTGACCGGCATCTCTCTTTTGTGCCGTCGACTGGAGCCGTCGGCGAGCTTGCCGGCTTCTGTTTTCTTTCGGCCGGAAGCCTCGACCAAGTACCTCGTCGTCTTCGGGGTGGTGACGGCGTCACGGCGTATAGAGGCCCGAGCGACCCAATCTGGCACTGGTGTCGGTCATATTCTTGCATGCTGCGATCATTTATTTGGCGAGATTGGACTCTTGATGGAACCTAATCTCTGAATTGTATTCCCTTCCGTCGCTACCGTCAGTCTGCAATCTCCGACATGGGTGTGTTTGACAGTAACCAGTTGAAGGATGCCGCCTCCGGTCGAGAACCAAGGCCTTCGTGGAACACACCGGCGGACCCTGCCACTGATGAGCTAGCTGAGCAGTTATCGGCACTTGGCATGGGCGATCCCTCTAAAGGCGGCCTATTCCAAGTTATGAAGGCCATGGAAGACGCTGAGAGCACCATCAAACAACAAGTAAGCTGCTTTCTCTTCGGGAGCTTTTGAACTGACTTTGTTGACTCATGTCGCTGATTTTTCATATTTGGTTTCTCGATAGCTGCTCGAGAAATTTAAAAAATGGCGATTGTTACTCTCTTTTTGCTTAGCTTATTGAGGAGAAATGTAGCTTGGGTTTTACGCAGCTAGCAGTGATGATAGTGAACGCAAAGTTGGAGGTTGTCCACCACACATCTTTTGGATTAACGCCATTAGCGTTGCGAGAAAAGTACATTATTAACGGACTGTGAAGAAGTTTTTATTTAGTTGGAATGGGAATAACGTCAATATATGGTAATGCTAGGATTTGCATGTTAAAGTAGGCAAAAGGATTATATCACTCAATTTAGAGTGTAAGTTGTGTGATTTAAGCATCTCAAATTCAATGAGGATTTATGATATAAGATGCTTGTTGGTTTTTTTTGGGTTTTTTAGATAGACTTTCCAGATGATGCTATTAATGATACATTTGAATAGGCTAACTATTAGGGATATTTACATTCATAGCACACAATTCTTATGTATTTGCATATTTCTCACCTAAACTTTCATGTTAACATACATGTTTAAGAGGTAGGTGGTTGTGATTTGAGATTTTTTAAATTGAAATTCGAATCTCCAATGATTCTAGAATAACATGCGGTCTCCGGAGTAAGGGAGTCTTTGGGAGAGAAGCTTTTGGTTAAATTATATTTTGTTTGTTGCCCACCTCACTATCTTACCAGAGAATACACCACCCTATTTTATCAGCCAAATTCACCTGTGATCCATCATCTCATGGTTGAAATTAGAGCTTTGTATTCACGAACTTCACTATGACAAATTGATATGTGAATTCAAGCTGAATGAGTAATATATACAAAACCATATGCTCAATAAACATTATTTTGGAAGTTTTAATTGTTTATGATAGCACATTTTTTTTCTAGATCAGCTAAAAAGCTATTTTTACAAAGAGGGCAACTTCAAATTCTAACTATATATTATGGAAGGTTAATTCTAGCTTAGCAGGCATGCTTTGGAAAGTTCAATGGGATAAGTTTAAATTGTGTAAACTGAATTGTGAGATATTGTAGCTTAAACTTAGTGGTTAACTTAATTTTCAACCGAATAATGTGGAACGAATGCTATGATAAATGAAAGTGTACTAGTACAAGGTAAAGTTAGTCACACTTATTAGTCAAAGAAATTCAATTTGTAGTTTAGGTCTTGTGTACAGAGAGCAATAAATTTAACCATCACAAAGGTGTCATTCCTTTCGATGAACTGATGCATTAATTTCAAACCAGGTTTGCAAATATAAACAACAAAAAAACCTTGACATAGGAGGGATGCATAATCAAATTATATAGAAATCTAGGGGGTATTGTTTTGCATATTATGACACTAATGATTTTTTAAATCAAAATTAGTTATCGATGGATTAACATTGCCATTGTTGGGTTGCAAGTCTCGAATGTGAAAAGTGGAAGTTTGTGTTAAGTAGTTGACAACCAGTGTAAAATTTATAAAAAAATTATGACATGAATCTTTTAAATCCTTGTGTAAATGCTAGGGCGTTTTCTGCAAGCGACACACTGTATGACCTGAATACAGTGAAAAACGTGCAAGAGCCGCTTCATCGACGTCCGGGTGTAGTGTCAAATAAGCACGAGTTCCCACTTTACGGACGAATGCAGGTTAAGAAGTTAGTCCATGAAATTAATATTAGGATAAAATCTTGGAATATAATTACTCTCACAGGTAAATTAATGGAATTAGTTGATATTATTGTTCATATGAAGATAAATATTTTTTCTGTTCAAGAAATTAAATGGGTTAGATAAAAGACTAAGGAGGTTGATTAACTTAGGTTTTAAATTTTGGTATTCAGGTAGGAGCCGCACTAGAAATGATATATGTGTAATTATAGATAAGAGTTTAAAAGATAATTTTGTAAAAATTAAATCTACTTTTGTAAAAATTATTATAATTAGAGATGAAATTATAGTCCTTAAGATTGTTATTGATACTAAAGTTTTTAATGTTATAAGTGCTTATGCTCATCTGTAGGTTTAGATATAAGTTAAAAAAAATTAGAATGAAGTAAAAGAATTAATTTAAATGATACCTTTTGAAGAAATAAGGAGATTTAAATGGACATGTGGGTAGTGCTTGAAAATTTTAGAAATATTCATGGTGACCACTGTTTTGCAGTGATCAAAGAAAAATGCAGAGTTATATTAGATTTTGCTTTAGCGTATAATTTTATTTTTACTAATACTTTATTAAACAAAAGAGATGAGCATATTATTACTTATAAGAATGGATTTAATAAAACATAAATTGATTATTTTTTTATGAGAAGACGAGATCATTGAGAATGTAAAGATTGTAAAGTCATGTCAAGTGAAAATTTAAGTACTCAACATCGATTATTAGTTTTAGATTTTATGATGAAGAGTCTTCAGATAAATAATATTAGGAATCATTATCATAAAATTAGATGAAGACACTTAAAAAATATAAATAAAATTATTTTTATAAGTAAACTTCAAGATTTCAAAATTTGGGATGTTCATGAAAAAAAAATTCTATGTGGGATAAAGTAACAAACATTATTAAATAAGTGACAAAAGTTTTACTTGGAGCATAAAAAAAATAGTTATTGATGAATTGATAATGTGCAAGAAAATATAAAATATAAGAAGTTTTATAAAAAATAGTTTGAATGTAAAAGCTTAGAGAATTAAAAAAAATATAAGTTGGCTGGTAGTGAGTTTAAGAGAACAATTTGTGACGCTAAAAATTCTGGTTTTAATACTTTTTATAATATGATAAATACTAAAAAGGGTGAAAAATATATGTATAAATTAGCCTTAAAAAGAGGAAAAAAAGTAAAGTGTATTAAACATGAAATTAAAAATTGTTTTTCTTATAAGAAAATATTCAACATAGATGGGTGATCTATTTTAATAAAATTTTCAATGAAGTTTTCGAAAATATGATCGATCATAGTGATGGTAATATCGTTAATTATAATAAAGTTTTTTTTAATTTTACTGTCGCATTAGTTGAAAAAAAGTTAAAAAGTCTTTAAGGAAAATCAAGTGTGGGATATCAACAGGACCTGATGATATACTCATTGATGTGTGTAAATATTTAGGAGATTTGAGAGTTTCTTGGATTAATAAACTCTTTAATGTTATTTTAAAAACTAAAAAAATGCTTAAGGAATAGAGGAATAGTATTTTGGTATCCATATTTAATAATAAAGGGGATGCTCAAGAGTGTGTTAATTATAGAGGAATTAAGTTGATATGTCGTACTTTAAAACTATGGGAGAGGGTTATTGAACATAGGTTAAGACATAATACAAAGATTTCTCATAATCACTTTGGATTTATGCCGGACAGATCTACTATGGAAGCTATACATTTATTGAGAGGTTTGATGGAGAAGTACAAAGAGATAAAGAATGATCTACATATGATTTTTATTGATTTAGAAAAAGCTTATGATAAGATTTCAAGAGAAGTCCTTTGGAGTGTTTTAGAAAAAAAAAGTGTTGATATGACTTATATTCAAGCCATTAAAGATAAGTATAGTAGAGCTGTTACTTGTGTTCGAACAGGAGGATTGACGAAGTATTTTCCTATTTCCGTTGGATTACATTAGGTATTGAGTTTAAACTCATATCTTTTTGCTTTGGTTATGGATGCGCTTGCTGGACATTTACAGGAGGATGTACGTTGATGTATGCTTTTCGCTGATGATACCCTTTTTGTGGATAAGATTAGAGAAAAAAATTCAAGAAAATTTGAATTATGGAGGGCTACATCGGAATCTAAAGGCCTTTGTTAGAGGAGAACTAAAACTAAATACTTGGAATGTAATCTTAGTAGTAGCTCTGGTGGAAGAGTTGTAATTATGTGTGATCAAATCATTAAAATGTGTAAAAATTTTAATGATTTGATTAGAGGGATGGTGATATAGATGAGGATGTTATTAGTAGAAGTCAAGTTGGTTGGTTAAAATGGAGGAATGCTTCAGACTTATTGTGTGATAAAAAAGAATCGCTTATATTGAAAGGAAAAAATAAAAATTTTACAAGATGGTGGTGAGACCTGTAATGCTCTATGGTGCAGAATGTTGGCCTTTAAAAGAGAAACATTAAACTAAATCAAATGTTGTGGAGATGAGAATGCTTGGGTGGTGGCTTGACTCTTTGAGACAAAATGTAAAATGAATATTTCCGTGATAGGGTTGGTGTAGCTCCGGTGGTTGACAAAATTAGAGATAATCGTCTTAGATGGTTTGGTCACATTAATTGTCGACCATCTGATGATCCGAAATGATCTAGTTAGGAGAGTAGACTTTTTAATTTTGACTGATGTTAAAAAGATAGACCTAAAAAGACTTGGACATATGGACATATTGTATAAAAAATGATCTTAATATATTAGAATTAAATTAAAATATGACACTCATCATAACACAATGGAGGAAAAGGATTCATCTAGTGGACCCCGATTTGTGGGATAAAGACTTGTTGTTGTTGATGATGATGGGTATTTTTAGAGCAATTTAGTAGACATAATACTCTGTTTAGCTATTTGATTGAATTATCATTTTTTTTGATTGAAAAACATGGAACTAAAATTGAATACTTTCTTGACATCAGATCTTGACATTTCATGTATTTTTAACGATATGAAATTTAAGTGTCGTAATTTATTTTTAAGAAAATTTTGTGCAGATAGATTTGTTTTATCTATTATTTTGTTAAGTGATGTGTTAGGAATGAAATTATGTATGATTGTATGTAATTAAGCTATTTTAGAGTTCAGATTTTTGTATTTAAATTGCTGTAGATTAAGAGGAACATATCAAGAGTTAGAACTTTTATTTGTGACAATCATAGTTACTTTTTCTAGTGGTTACCTTCTTGTTTTTCTTGGCTTCGTATAGTTTGGGACTTTTATAAATATGATGCTTATTTTCCTTTAACATGTCATATAATATTGTTAGCTTTAAAGTTTTGGATGATGATGGTATTGATTAGTTGAAATGAGATTATCATGGTTCAGACGGGGAGTGAATTGTGTTAAAAAAACTAGTAATAAATCATTATAAATGTTTATTTTTTGTTGTGATTGAACACTGTCATTGGCGGGTCCTAAGCCCCGAATGCCGAAAGTGGAGAGTTGCATTAAGTATTCGACAACCAACGTAAAATTGTTATCGAAAAATCTCATGACATAAATTCTTTAAGTCATTGTGTAAATACTAAGACGTCCACTGGAAGCGATGTACCGTATGACTTAAATATAATGAAAAGTGTGCAAGGGCCTCTACACCGCACTCGGTTGTAGTGTTAAATAAACAAGAATTTTGACATTACAGATAGATATGAGAAAAGAAGTTAGTCAATGAAACTAATATTATAATAAGATTTTAGATTATAGGTACTCTCATAGGTAAATTAATTGAATTAGTAGATTTTATGGTTCGTAAAAAAATAAATGTCTTATGCATTCAATGAACTAGAAGGTTTGAAGAAAAGACTGAGGATTGATAACTTATGTTTTAACTTTTGATATTCAAGTGAAATTCACACTAGAAATGTAGGAGCAATAATGTAAAGTTTAATAAAATTTGTAATAGAATTATGTCTCTAAAATTATTGCTGACACTAAAATTTTTAATGTTATAAATGCTTATGCTGCTCAAGTAGGTTTAGATATATGTTCAAAAGAAAAATTTTGGAATGACTTAGAAGAATCAATACAATTGATACCTCTTGAAGAAAAAGATTTTATTGGAGGATATTTAAATGGGCATGTTGATAGTGTGATGTAAAATTTTATAAATATTCATGGTGGCTAGAGTTTTCAAGTGATTGATGAAGAAATAAAACCATATTATATTTTACTTTAGGTTATGATTTTTTTATTGCTAATATTTTATTTAAAAAAATAATCCTATTTTTACATGTAAGAATGAATCTAATAAAATACAATTCGATTATTTTATTATGAGAAAAAAGATTGTCGAGAATGCAAATATTGTAAGGTTATTTCAAGTGAAAATTTTAGTACTCAGTATCGATTATTATATATTGATTTTATGATGAGTAGTTGGAAATTAAAAAAACACAATAAAACATTGTCATAGAATTAAACGTCCGTTTGGGGCGTTGCGACATTGCACCATAGCTTTGTCTGTTTGACATCCTAAATGGGGGAAAAATTTTGCGTGCGATAGACATACGCAACGCTGCGTACGATATTGAGGTTATGCCGATGGTACAAGGGGGTTACATCTGCGGTATAACCTCTTGTAACCTCTCTGTAGCCTTCTGTAACTTACCTGTAGCCTACTAATAAATTCTTAATATATGATAACAGAAACACGAAACTTATTTTAGGTTACAGGGAGATTACAAGGGGTTATACCGCGGATGTAACCCCCTTGTACCCTCTGTATAACCCCAGTATCGTACGCAGCGCTGCGTACGTCTATCACACGCAAATTTTTTCCCTGAATGGGGGCTCCTAAACAACCCATAAGATTATTTTTTTAGTAAACTTCGATTTGGGATGTTCTTGAAGAAGTTAATTATATGTGAGATAAATTAACAAATACTATTAAAAAAGTGACAAAAATGTACTTAGGGGATGTTTGATAGCACACTTTTAATAGGATTTAATCATGGATTTCACTTAAATCTTGTCAAACACCAAAAAAAGTAAAACCACATCCAACTCTCCATTAAAGTCTAATCTCTCCTGTTCTGTTTGTTTCTTCCCGTTCCATCTCTTCTGCAACGTAAATATGGATTTATCAGATCCTACTAGGAAGCGAATTACAGGTATTTATGTCTCATTTTCTCACTTGCTCCATCTCCGTCGCGAATTGACCAAATGTCAACCATCTGACAATCCAGTTAGAAGAGTAAATGTTTTAGATTCAACTTATGTTAAGAAAGGTAGAGATAGACTCAAAAAATCTTGGGTGTGTTGTCTAAAAATGATCTAATTTATTAGAATTAAATGAAAATATGACACCAATAGGACACAATGGAGAAAAATGATTCATGGTGTTGACCCCACTTTAGTGAGATAAAGGCTTGTTGTTGTTGTTGTTGTTATTGTTGTTGCTGTGATTGACTGTTTTGTAGGTTGCTGCTGCTGTGTTATACTGTTTTGTATGTTGCAAATGCTGTCTAGGTCAAACACCTATTAGTAATGTCTCCTCATCGTCAAATATGACAAAATATAAGTTAGATGACATAAATCTTAGGGTCATTTACAAACATAGCACACAATGCTTATGTATTTTCATATCTCACTCCTAAACTTTCATATTTACACACATGGTACTCAAATATTTAATATTACTATTACTAATTTTTAAGAGTAATATTCACCTTTTCATGCATAGTTTAAAGCACCAAAGTGCAATCTATGTAAATATGAAAGTTTAGGTGTGACTTGTGAGACATGTAAATGCATAAGAATTGTGTGCTACATATGTGAATTTACCTAAATCTTAATCAGGTTGCACCTTGGTGCCTTCTTGCGTCTACTACTTAGAAAAAGAAAAGGTCTTCTAGACTTTAGTGAATATTTTCTGTCAGAGAGCCGATTAGTGCATTTTTTTCCTTGGATACCGATTAACTCTGCTAGAGAACTTAGTGGGACCTTTTATGAAATCGTGAAGGTTAGCTGCATGTATGATGCATGCCCCTACTTCGTGCTTTTAGAAAGATTTTGTGGCAAACAGTGATCACACAAGTTTACGTAACTAGCAGGCATTGTGGGTGAAATATAGGAGCATAAAGTTTTTCAAATCCACTTGTTATGATCCTTTTCTTGTGCTCACTCCATGACAATCTTTCATTGGTTTTTGATTTTTAATCACCTATGAAACAATTTGAACACGAGGATTCTTCATTTTGAAACAATTTGCTTGGCACATTTCGTTATTTATGATTTTTTGTTGCAGTCCATGAAACGGTACATTTATGTGCAAATGTTGAAAAGCCGGTACATATATCAGTGCTGTTTTACTTGGGACCTGAACATGATGTTGACCTAAATTTTTTTTATTGGTTTGCAGTGAGGCAATGAATTTAGGTCTTATTTATATAACTTAGTTGGAGGTCTTTTTTTTGTTGGGTTGCAGTGAGGCAATGAATTTAGGTGCATGACAATCTCTTGTGGCATTCTTTACAGTGGTTACCTTCAGGAAATCTTTATTTACCAAATGATGTTAGATACCTAATCACGTAAACTAATTTAATTTCTGTTATGAAAGGAGTAAAGTAGCGAAAGCCCAGCATTTTTCATAGATTTCTTTTGGAGTATTATGCTGTTTTTAAGCACTTAATATACTTATTTTGCTGCATAGCTTGATGGACTAGTTAAAAGGTTACATTAGTCTAAAATCTCCGAACGTTTTGAAAATCTGATTAAAGTTGTTTGCTTAAGTTTAAATATTCAAATTTATTTTTATTTAATATAATTTATGCTCTTCTAGTAATTTCAGTAAACCTATTAAGTCTCCTTAAAATTAGACGAGTGAAGATTTGTAGCTTTAATATCAAATTTCTAATTTACTTTTTTAATGCAAGTTTTAGGATTACATTTTAACCCTATACTATTTTTTATTTCTGTAGTTGGATGAGAATAATCACTTGAGAGAGCAACTTTTGTGGAGAACTCGTGAACTGGAGAAATATGTAAGCATTAACCCTTGCGTGTACTCTTCGCGGTTATTCCTCGGTAAACTTATACAAATTTCCCAAATATTTAGGATGTTTCGACTTATATTTTCCACGAAAAACGTTCCTAACTTTTTTTTTTTTTTTTGGAACGCCGAGATGTTGCTTGTTATGCTCATCATACTAAGTAACCTTTTTGGACTTATTTGGCCAGATATATGTTGATTAATGCTATAAACTTCATTGTCAACCCTTTCATTTTTTTTGGTGTTTATTTAAGCAATATTGATTACGGTGTGGTAATTTTGGGGATTGGGTTTCATAGTCTCTTTTCCCTCATTCCTCTCTCTCTCTCTCTATATTCAGCTTCTTGCCATATTAATAGTTTTAACAGGTCATTCTCATTTTAGTTTGTATTCTGTATTGAAAGTATTAATAATTCTTAATAGATAATGAAAATTGATATTGATTCCTGCGCTAGAAAAAGAAAAACATGTGCCACTGATTCATGTACTTAAGTTGGAGTGGTGTGGTGATGCATGGGCTTTCTGCAGAACCCCCAGTCCCGCGATTGCATTCTTCCATAGTTCGGGGACTCGATCCTGCGATGCCGGATTCCATCTGCCTCAGAATCTGCCATTGAATATGCGTACCACGATTATGGGTGACCGAACTCTCAATCTAATTATCAAATTCAGCAAGAGTTTTTTTTCTTTCTTAGCATATTTTCTATTTCTATATTTCATATTTGTCTATTTCCTATTTCCTTATTTCCAATTAGATTATTTCCTAGTAGAAAACTTTGTAGGTGGTATTTTTATCTTTTAGAAACTTTTGCTTTGTTTGAGTATTATGATGGTTTTAATATTTAATTTCCTTCATTAGTAGTGTTAGTTCCTCTTCCCTTTGTAAGTGTTGTGTTTGTATTTGCTATGGAACAAGTGGTTACTTTCCTCAACCCTTGTATTGTTGTGGAAAAAGCGAAGACAATAAAGCGAAATTGGAACGAGAAAATCGCACAGGCAAGCATACACAAATTTTATATGGTTCGACAAACTGTCTACGTCCACGAGAATTGTAGAGGATTTTATTACATCGAGGATTACACCGTCGTCGATCGCCTCGACGATTGCAAGAATACTCTCTTCCTCTCTCTCTCTTTCTACCTGAGAGCCTTAGCCAAAGATAACTGGGAAGAGCTGAGCCTTGCCATTGATTTCTTCTTCCCGTAAGCCACCAATGGAGAATCGTCAGCCTTGTGATTCCCCTCTTCTTCCGTAAGCAAAACCACGGAAGCAAAGGGAGTAGATCCGAACAGTTAGTGACAACCAAAATCAAAAGCTTTTTTATATTTAGCGAAACAGGAGGCGGGAATTTTAGGTGAGAGAGGCAACAAGGAATTTATTTGCAAGAGAATAATGAAAGAAATCAAATTCGAATAATTTCTGTAAGTGCCGACACCGCCAAATCAAGGAAGTGGACCGGGCTCCACACTACCCAACATGTATCTCTTTATTGTCTTCGGTAGGGGCAATTGTCGAATGATGCTTTTGCCCGTCCAAATGCCGTCAAACTTGTATATTAGCTTTCCCTGGCATCCCACAATCACCTCCTTGCAAATTCGCTTCCTAAACACCTTCTAGGAGAATTAGAATGACATCACATGAATTCATTTACGTAACCTGAAAAAGTGAGTGCCATGGATTGTTCCCTTCTCCATTAAGCCAAGATATAAAGTTTTTAGACAACTGTTTTAATATTTTAATTTATTTTTGTAACTAGTAGTTTCTAATTACCTTTCGATAATTTTGTGTATGAATATCCATTGAGGGAATAAAAAATAATTTTTTAAGCCATTTTTTTTATGTGGTATCAAAGATTAAAGCTGATCTTTATTTTTTCCTTTTGTATGATAGGCGTTACTTTTTCTATCTTTCATTGTTATTTTCCTGGTTGTTTGTTTCTTTTGACTTCTCTTCTAAATAGTAACCATTATTAGTGGTGAAAATTGGGGTAAAGGAAAATTTGGATGGTAAAAATCTCTTATCATTTGAAGAAAGAAATTACTTGAAGCATTCTTGAATTGTGAATATCTTTTTGAAAGGAAAGAGAAAAAATCCTCTTGTTGATCCATCTCCGGACCTAAAAGACTCAAAGCTTGCAATTTAGGATAAAAGAGATTCTGTGATCATGTCATGATCATGAGACAAAAGGGTGCTTGAAATCAGTGGACCATAAATGCTTTTAGTAATTGTAAAGTCATTTGGGATCTTGTCAACTTAAAGATGTCCCTCTTTTTTATGAGATCAAGATGAAGCTTTCAATCACCAATTAAGCTAACCTCCCTATCATTGAATATTTAAATGTAATGAAGGTTTATTGGATAAAACTGGATTACTACTAAGATCTGAAGATGAAGTGGAATGATGACACTGCAGTTCTCAAATACTTTGTAGAACTGGAAAAGCTAATTAATTTCTTGATTTGACTAAATAATCCATTCAACTAAGTTCATTTTTAAATTGAGAAGAGAACCTATTTTCTCCATATCAAAGAAGTAAGAATGTTGGTAATAATTTACACTACAAATTCTGAAATGTTGGCCATTACAACCATAGAACTTTGAAGGGACTTGTTGCCTTTGAATTCTCCCGACATAAATGACAAAGTTCGTTTCTTATATACTACATGTTGTGCAATTGCTATGAAAAGGGGGCATATAAAAAAGAAATGTTTAAAACTTCATGGAAAGTTTCGAGGCAATAGTAAAAACAAAGAAGACTAATCAAAAGGATGTACTTGTCTTGTTAACTATGAGTTTTTAACTTAAAAGGTATTGATAAACTAAGAAACTTTGTCAATTCTTTCAATTTTCTTTTTGGGTCATGTTTTATGGCGCAAAGTGGTACAAACTTGAACTCTTGTATTTTTAATGACTCAAGTAATTTCCTTAAAATTTTAATCATTGATTCAGGAGCCACCAATCAAATGATCAGTGGTGGAACCAAGGGTGGTTGAGGGGAGTAGACACTCCATAGATTTTTAACAACTATTTAATATCATGTTATACATTAAAAATTTTGCTCTTCTTGAAACTATCACCTTTATATTTTTAATAACTATGAAATATGATATCATATATTAAAAATCTTCCCTCTCTCAAACCTAATGTTTAGTAATAACTATATATTTAATTTAATAATTATTTGAATGATTTCTCATATATATTATAAGTTTCCCTTTAAATTTGATATAAAATTTATTTTTTTAAATATTTTTTATAAATCTTAAAAAAAAAGTAATCACTTCCTTGAAAGCCTTGTCTACTTCACCTGACATCCTCTATCCCAAATCCCCCTCTTGATTTTGCTCAAAATCATCGTCAAACCCTTGCGACACAGTTTTATCTTTATTATTATCTTGCATCTTATGATATAAATTTTAAAAATTATAAATGATATTCGTAAAGCATTATAAAAGAAGCTGTAAGATATCTTGAATACAATGCATTTAATATAAAAATTCAACATTTTTTTGAAAATTTAAGAGAAATTTGATATTTTTTTTTGTTCCAAAAGATGAAATTATTTTGTTAAGAATGGGGTATATATATTTTGTTAAAAATGGGGTATATATATATATTTTTTTGTTTCTTACTTTGGAGCTTTAAGACGCTCTCATTCATAAAAAATACCTTATACAAAGCATTATTATAAAATAAATTTTTTTTGTAGACACTTTAGATACACAAATGCAAGAGATGAATAACAAATTTAAATAAAATGTTGTAGGGTCATTAATTCTCAGCTCGACATTGGATCCTCGAGATAGATATCGACCATTGAAAATTAATACTATTTGTCAACTTTTAAATAAAATCTGTTATGAAGATTTTATAGCTACTAAAAATTTACACTTAAAAATTCAATTAAAATATTTTAAAATTGAAGCTCATTAAAATTAATATTTTTAGGGACTCAATGAAATAAACGATGATTTTCTCGCGAGTTCATTAATAACATATATTAGTTTCGATATGTAATTAATGATTGATGATTTTGGTGTCATGAAGAATTTTTGTGCACAATTCAAGATGTCTATTATGGAATAAAAGTGTTACTTTTTTATTTTATAAATTATTGTCAACAATTTATTTCATTTCATTTATTTCAAATTTTTTTTTTAATTTTAATGTATTTTACCTAGTTTTTTAAAGTTTGCCCCCTCTCTTTAAATTCTAGTTTTGCCCCTACAAATGATAAATATTGCCAAAATTTTTCAAATTACAAATTCGGTTCAAACAATAGAAAAATAAATGTAGCACATGACTCTCTAATTATTATTTTAGGTCTAGGGAGTATTCCTATTTCACTTGCATTTATTCTAATAATGTATTATCTGTTTCTAACATGGGCACATCTTCTATTTATTTATAAACTCAAAGGTGATATTTTTTTTTACTAATCTCTGTTTTTTAAAGTGTAATTATTTAATATAGATATGGAGAATCATGATATCTGGTTGTTTATCTTTTTCCTTTTCTCTGGTCGTGCAATAATGTGCTGTGAAAAATATTTTCTTACATAGGAATGTTGAAGAAAATGTTTATATGGATGTTTCACCATCATTCATTATTTTTTTCATAGAAAATGAGGTGTATGGATTAAATAAGGTATTTAGTGTCTCAGACAATCTCCAAGGGCGCGTGTTGACAAATTGACAAAAGCAACGTCTGGAATTAGGTATAAACAAGGCTAATTATCATATACTTTGCATAAAACATTCCACTGTTGAAATTTTTTAAATTTTTATTGTTTATGTTTATGATATATTTTTATAGGTGATCACAATAAATGAATTGAATTTTTTGGAAAAAAATCTATTGCAGAGTGTGAAATCTAAGAACCCAGTAAACTCAAATGCTTCTTGGTTATGAAAGTCGCTTACTTCAAAAAGTATAAATTTTATCTCTCATAAAAGAAAATAAACATGTTATAATTTTTTTGTGAGAAATAAAAATGATTGATTGCAAATCTTGTAAGACTCTTAACTAAGCGAAGTTAGAAGTTAGACATAGATGAAGAAGAAATAGATGTTGACATTGGACAATGTTTATGATTAGTTGAAAACTAATTTATCTTTCACGTTTGTCCTAACAGAACTTTTATTGTAAGTTTCATGAGTTAACTTACATACAAACCAAAGGAATCTCTCCTTTAAGTTGCTTATATAATTCTTAAATATTTAAAATCATATCTTGAGAAGAGATTCTATATATAAAAATATAACCTGCAAAATGAAGGTTTTGCTAACAGTAACTTTGCATGGTCAACAGTAGATAGGAGATCGGCTTCGGGATATTGCACATTATTGGGAGAAAATATAGTAATATGTAGAAGCAACGAATTAGTTGTAGTCTCAAGATGAAATGCTGAATCTGAAATTAGAGTTTTTTTAAAGATATCTGTCAACTCCTATGGATTAAAATTGCGTTAAAAAATATTAAAATTAAATGAAAAGGAATTATGGGGATATATTGTGATAATATATTTTTCATCAAAATTGTCAACAATTTAATACAACGTAATTAACTAAACATGTGGAGATGGATTTTCATTTCATAAAAGAAATTAGAAAGTTGCTAATTTACATTCCTTATGTTCTAATGGGAAATCAACTCATTTGCATATTTATCATAGGATTTTACAACCTTGCATTCATAAATATCATAAATAAATTTAGAATGGTAAATCTCTTCTATCTAGTTTGACAGAGAGTGTTGAAAGTGTTAGGATTGTTAAACACTGAATGAAAGGAGCCACATAGTCATGTGCTAAATGAGGGAAAACATGTGCTATTGATTGATATAGTTTGCATGAAAAGAGGAGTGCCACGGATTTCTCCCACTTATTGACGGCTAAGTTTTGAAGTTTTGGGAAGCAGTTTTTATTTTTTAATTTTTATAATTAGTAATTTCATTTGTTTTTTGTGTGATTATGTGTATAAACACCCATTGGAGGAATGAACATTGCAAGCTTTTTATCCACTTCTTCTTATCTATATTTTGCATTGTATTGATTGCAAGGTAAAAAAAAAAAAATTCTATTTTACCCTTCTATTTTACCCGTTAAACTGGATTCTAGCTACGATGGGATAGCATTTGATGCTTAATTGTTCAACAAAGGTTGTGATAGTGAATCACAGTTTTGCAACTACTTGCAATCTAGTTGACATAGAACATTTTATGAGTGTAACGCATAGATTTCTCTAATTTCTGGTATTGAATAATGAAGTTTATGCGGAACATTGTTATAAGTGATGAGAAACATAGGGAATTGGTTTGTGAGATGCATTGATGTTAAGCATAATAAATGAGGCCTTTAGTGCTGTATTTGCTGTGAGACCTCCAATGTTTTAGCTGTTTTAGCAATAAAGATTTTTTTCGTAGGTGCTCTCAAAATATTTCTATTTTAGCTACACTTATTTGATTTCTTTCATTTCTTTCCTGGTTGTTATCTTCTTCAGAAGTTAGAGTCTGTGACTAGAAGGGCTTCTGCTGATGACTTGATAGATGAACCATCCATGGGAATGTATGAAGCTCATGCAAACAATTCTTCAATGGAAAATGAAGCAGACAAGGTGAAACTAATGGATCACAGGTTTTCAACGAATTCTGATGGTTTAGTAGTTCCAAGAGATGGCATCCGAGGAAGTGATGGACCTTTCTTGCAACCTAACTTAAGAATCCATCAGTATTCTGAAGGCAAAAAAGTGAATGGAAATTTAAAGGTCTCTGCTGGATTGCAGAATGGCCCTGACAATCAATCTCAGTTTTCAACACCTTCTTCAAGGTCTATTTCTCCGACCAGGTCGTTGTTGTCTACCACATTATTTATGTAATTGCTTGTTTTACATAACCACCTATTTAATTTGTGTGGTCGCAACTAATACAACATCCATTTGATCTTTCAAATGAGTTTACTCAGGCATCGCAGGGAAGGAGAGTATGATCCACGGGGGCATGGGCTGGTGTCAGTTTCTGAAATGAACTCAAACGCACTCTGGAAACAGGTGTTTTATGCAAATATTGTTTTTATGCTTCTTCAGCCACTGGTATTTTAATGGAAAGTTGGTAATCTTGGCACAGGATCTGATTATCAAAGTTAGAGAACATGAAGAAGAGATTTCACTGTTAAGAAAACATCTTGCCGACTACTCAATGAAGGTAGTTAAACATGCTGAAAAGTTGAAGTTCCTTCATTAAAGTCTGTTTTTCTTGACCTGGTGCATTTGGCTTTTCTCTCTATTATAGGATGCTCAAATGCGCAATGAGAAGTATGTTTTAGAAAAACGCATTGCTTATATGCGAATGGTAAAGACTTAAATTATGATTTGCTAATCTACAGTTACCGTTAATTACATTGCCATGCATAATAAAGGAAATTGCTCATTCGCCATAAGAGCACATTAAAAATAAGGGGCATTTACATATATACCACACAATTCATGAGTATACATGTATAGTGCTCAAATCTTTAACATCACATCAAAATGGTCTATGCTTTTAATTGGGACCTATTCTGCAATGTTATATCGATGCTAAAACTTTTGTTTTCAGGCATTTGATCAGCAGCAGCAAGACTTGGTCGATGCTGCATCAAAATCTCTTTCTTATAGACAAGATATAATTGAGGAAAACATTCACCTAACATATGCATTACAGGTACTTTTCAATTTTAGTTTATTGTTTTTTTTGTGAAATTGTTAGTTGCTTTTATTTGTATCATTATACAAATTGCAATTTGATAATTGTAGCACACAAATGTTGTGCTTTATTGTTCTTCTGTACATTTACGTTTGTCCTGTCCTCAGAAAATTTTTTTATAACTTGTGCTGAGTTTTCATATTTTGTTTTTCAAATTTCATGTTTTCTTTTTTGTTGTTGAAGGCAGTAATATGTGATCTGAAATTCCTTTCTACAGGCTGCTCAGCAAGAAAAAACAACTTTTGTTTCTTCTTTAGTGCCACTTCTTTCAGAATATGGTCTCCAACCTTCTATCCTTGATGCTCAGTCCATTGTCAGCAATCTGAAGGTTTGTAGTATGCATGTTTTGGAAATAGGTACCGACTTCATTTCTTATTATGCCTGATGATTTATTTTGAGAACATTAGTGTGGTGTGGGGTTGTGAACATTGTCGTACTTTTTTAAATCTATTTTTATGGAGGTCTTATTCTTAGATAATGGAGCGTCGGTGTTTGCAGGATTGAGGGATTTTATTTTTTTTCTATTTCATGAATAGGGATGTGAATTTGCTTAAACATTGATGGTCACCCAAGAATTGGATTGATTTTTGAGCTTTGATCGGAATAAACTCGGGCTATGCATACCTTAGATCGAACTTGAATTGAGTTTGTCCTAGTCGAATATAGCCAACTCAAGATTAGATTGGAATGCATATATTGGAGTTTTTCTCATTTTTATTACATGAACGATTTTTATACATGAGCCTACTCACACATTCTTGGAAAACATACAACATTAGGAAGTTATGTCATGAAATATTATTAGAATACAATTCATCATGTAAATTCTATTTAAGGGTGATGTTATTCACTGAATATAAGTCATTATAATTTATATATGATATTTATACATTTTCTTTCTGATATTTATTACTTTATGATCTCTACTAAGGGTAATTTTATTCACTTAATCATAATGAAGATTGCAATTTGCATTTTATAAAGGATTAACTTTGAATAGGATTTAGCAAATCAATAAATCCGAATTTATCAAATTCAGTTAAGGTTAAATCAAGTTAAATTCGTCTGGCGTGTCTGAGATGTTATTTCAGGATTTAATAACTATCGATTTAAAAAAAAATTAATATGAAATATAAGGCTGAAACCACAATAATTTTTTAAATATTAAAAAAATAATGTGATATGATTTTTTCAAAAATAAAAACTAACTCTTAAGAAAATTCATAATGAATAAAACTTTGTCTGGGGTATGGTTGGCCGCTCTACCTCTCATCCCTAAATCTATCACGTGACGCTGAAGAACTCTTTACTCACTGTATAATCATCTTTTTCCTCAAAATTCTAGTTTTTACCCTCCTTGACTCTGTCCTTCTCCATTGGAAATTTCTCCATGCAGAGTTTCGTACAAATATCTTTCATCCCATGGGCTTCTCCTTTATTCCTTCCCTTTTCTTCTCGTGGTGAGACTGCTCTCGTAATTGGGACGAAAAGTTTTCTCAATCAAGCCATCGCCAAAGCAGCCCGCCGATGCAGCTGTTAGATGATGATGCTTCACGCATCCGCCCTCCTTTATTTGCCCTCTAGCTTTCTTTGACAAGTTTGCATCCACTCTCATCCAAATCTATCTTTTTCCCAGTCCCTTCAGTGTCGTGCCCTCGAGTTTTGCTACTTCGTCACCCTCGACCACTTTCCTTCTGCCTCAACCACATCCACCCTAGCACTAGATGACTTCCGCAGTTCTGAGAAACTGAACAATTTATCTGTTTTCAGGTCAAGTTGGTAGTTCTCGCCAATTCTTTCTAGTTCAATGCGAGACCGGTTATATGTTTGGACTTGAACTGCGACATACATTTTTTTTTAAAAAGCCCAAGGGAAATTATATTAAAGAGAAAATGGCACAGATATGTTGTATGAGTAAGCCGAAATAGACACCTGTTGACTCTTTTCCTTAGGATTCTAGGATCTAGCTCTAGGGATTTCTATTGACTATCTTAGAAAACTAGTATTGGAATCCACATTTTTAGAAATTCCAGTCACTTCCTATTTTCCTGTGATGTCTAGCATTTATGGTCTCAAAATCATCGTCTTATGTACGAGCGGTTAAGGGCTATTGTGTGGAACTCAAGGGGAAGTTCCCAATAGGATCTAAAGCCCTAGGACAACCTATTCAGGACTTTATCATCACACTCATGCACAAAATTCACTAAGTTGCACAAGATCAGACTAGAATTGAGCTTAAGGATGGGTGAAAATGCGAACTTCTCCAGACGACCTCCAATGACGAAGTGGACTGCGCCAGCGCGTCCGGGACACCAATTTTAGCAAGAAAAGACACCCATATTGCTATAATTTCCGACACGAGTAGATTGCACACAAATCGATGAATTCTTTAAAATGACCCATGACGACGAAATGGACCACGCCTACGCGTTCGGAACGTTAGAATTACAAAAAAAGGACATCCATTTTGTTATGTTGTGACACGAATAAAAGATACAAATTAAATATTATTTTGGAAATATTAAATTTTTTTATATTTATATTATTGATTATAATATTAATTTTTATCCCTAAGATCTATTTGACCCTTACCCACACGAGACTTTCCTCCAGTCGCACGATTTATTTCCGGACTCGATCGAGAGCCGCTCGGGCGTGCCCTAGCTCACGCGATCGACTGTACTTGAGCTGATCGATCGAGGCCATGGCCGCCGAGCACGTCTTCCTCTCCTGCATCCCCTTGGTCTCTCGCGACATTCCTTTTCCCTCACATGCGACATTCCACTGCCATTCGCGCACGCGGCTTGCCTCCTTGAGCTCCGCTCAGCCGAGCGGCTTTCCAACGGTGAAACTCCACCCAGCCGACTCTTTCTCTGCCCTAGGCTGCATTTCCTTCTCCCTAAATGCATTTTCTCTTCTCCCTTTACCTGATTCGACCACCTGTGAGGCTGGTAGGTGGTTGTCCCCCTCTCACTGGTAGGTGGTTTTCCCCCTCTCATCTCTGCCTATAAAAAAACTTCCTAGAGTACTGTTTTAGATTGTTGAAAATTTTGAGAGGGAAAGGAAAAAATTCCTTCTCGGCTAGGATCTTGGGTGCTGGATTGTTCGTCGGTCGTGGCTTTCTTGAAGGTTTTGGGAGAGGAGTTTCTACAAGTAGCATTTTTTTCTTAAATTTATTCTAAAGTTCTTTGCTTTAAGTCTGCATTAAAAAGGTATTCTTCTTCCTCCTTTCTGCAAACATTCAAAGGAGATATCTCATTACCCTACTCTCATGTCTTGGTTTTGATATCTGATTACCCTACCCTCATGCCTTGGTTTTGATATATAAGAGTATATGTTGGCAATTTTGTACTGATGATTTCTTACCTAGCGACATGGGTAATATTTCTAATCTCTGTCATTTGGAATTACTCCTGAATGCATGTTCTTTCTAATGCACTTGGAATTGGGAAATTAAGGCTACTTTAAGATTTATTTGAGCTTAGCATTAAGAATGAGAATGACTATAGGATTTATGAGTTGGAACATAATTTATGCGACTGCCTTTTTTTTTCTGCATGAAATGCATGTTGGATGGAAATTTTATTTTTTTTGGTACCTATTTGGAGGTCTCAGTTTTGTTCTATAATCCTATTTGAAATACATGCTAAAATGAAATGTTGGTTCGAAATTTGATTCTTATGCTTTTTATTATTATCACCCCTGTCAAATACATGCTGGAATTTGTTTCGAAGCTTTGGGATGTTGGTTTTAAGAACCTACTTATGTTTCTGTGTTTCCTGTTGCCTGTCCCTGTTCGAAGTATATATACTGGATGCAAATTTTGGGTCTTAATGTTTTGTGGAATCTGATTCTTAGTGGCTCTATTTTGGCCCATTTGGTGGGCTCGAATTTAGCTTCATTTGAATTAAATGTTAGCTGGAAATTCTCCCATGTTTTCCCCATATGAATGTGTTCGGTTTTAGCTCGTTGGAGTTGGATCTTTGCTGGAAATATTTTTTTTTTAGGTTTTGACTCATTTGTGTGGTTCAGTTTTAGCTCTTTGGAGATGGATTATTGTTGGAAATTTTTCTTTGATTTTTCCCATGTATTGGGCACGATTTTAACTACTTCTGGGTTGGATTTTGGCTGAAAGTTTTGTACTATTTTTGCACATTTGGTTGGCTCAGGTTGGCCTGAGGTTTTCAGGACTGATTTTGCATAAGATTTGGTTCGGTATGCTCCCTTTGCTGAGCTCAGTTTATTTGTCATAATTCTTTCTGTTGCCCCTATGCTGGGTGGCTCAGTTTGCCTCTGTGCTGGTTTCGATTTTAACTCTTTTGAGTTGAACTCATACTAGAATGTTGATCTGCTTTTTCATTTTGTGGGTGCGGTTTTGGCTTAAACTTTATTCTTTTCTTTAGCGTTTATATTGGGTTTAGTTGGATTTGAAACAAGGAATTGGTTTGGTTCAAAGCTTATCTGTTGACTCTCTCTTTTACTGGGTTTAGTTGGACTGAAACTATGTTTTATTCCTTTTCTTTTCTTGTCCCACCTTGCTGGGCTCAGGTGTGCCTATTCGGTTCCCTGTCTGCCCCCTGTTGGGCTCAGTTTGGTTGGAAACTCCTCATATAACGTTCCTCCTGACATTTTTATTGGTAATCAAGTTTGTCATCACAAAATTCATGATTTCAATATCTACTTCTATATGGGGATGTTTGAAATAAGCTGATCATTTCATTACTATGTCTTACTTGATGAGAATGGCTTCGGTCTTGATGGTTTATGGTAACTTGTCATTTCACTCTCTTATGTGTATCAAAAGGAGATAATAATAATGCTGCAGGTGCCTTCCTTTTGCCATCCCTACCCATGAGCTTAAATGGTGGTGATCTCCTTCCTGCTGCCTTGGCCGTGAGCCTTACCTTGTGTTTACTGCCCTTGTGGTCGTCCTGTTGCTGCCCTTACCCGTGGGCTTATTCTGTGGTGGCTTTCTCTTTCTTAGCCCTACCCGTGAGCCTTACCTTGTGATCTCTTCGTGAGATAAGTTGGGCTGGTGGCTGTCCCTCTCTGTTGCCTCTGATTATGAGCATTTATATGATTTTATCTGGATAATTTCTTGTTTATGTGATATGAAAGGTTTCTTTTAATGAAAGTTGGAATTAAATGATTTTGATTTTGGCCTAATTTTCTGGAAGGCTAGAAGGTTGCCCCCCTTATGGATTATTGTTCTTTATTTGGTGAAATATGAAAGACTTTTATAGCTTTATTTTGGGAAATCATAAAGTTAATATGAAACAGATTCATGAAAGGTTTGAAAGCTTATAAAATTGTCATTTTAAAAAAATG